AATGCATTAGTGGAAAATGAAACAAGAAAGAATCTGAGAGGTATATATATTCAAAAATCTAAAAAATATTAATGACTACATTTACAAAAGGGATCCTTCAAGAAATCATTTTACATATTGAAATACATCTACTATCTCAACCACACTTACAGTGACAAAGTCAAGATTAATATAGAATTCTTCTCTATGTAAATATAGTCCATAAGGGAAAACTGAAAAAAAATTTGTAACCTACATATATATATCACAAGATTAAGAAGAAATCCAAGCTCATAGGTATTTAATACACACACACGTTGGAAAAATCAATTCCTATCAACACGGAACAACGACACATTACATTTTATTTAAAATACATGTTATGAAAATTTGTTGACCCTGTGTGCGAAAAGCTTGAAATCTACTAGACGAGAAAACATACATAAGTACGATATGAACCACAGCTATATTTAATAAATTATACTCCACTATTGAATATACAAGTAATACTATTATAGTGATGACTGAGTTACATTTTGCTGGAACATCGTAAAAAGCAAACATTTATTTTTTGTGCATGTTATCATAACATATATTTCGATAACGTTTATTAAGTAAGTAGGTTTTTAAGGGACGGAAAAAGGCTGTCTTCAAAAATAATAGAGAAACAAAGTAAATTCCATATGAATTACTTAACAGGCTCTGAGATTTGAATAATAAGACATTCCTTTTTTTATAAAATCAACAATTCTTACAATGTTCCAACATGAAAATAAGGTTTGAGAAACTTTTATTGCTGCCTATGTATTATTGTACTAAACATTATAGCCGCCATACAAAAGAATGGATTACATACAGTTATTGTAAACCTAAACATATTTCAAACATTGAAATACATCAAATGAAAGCGATATCCAAGCTATTGTGAATTGATTTTCAACATCAAGTTATTAATGTCTTGGTAGTATCATTATTATAATCATGAATCTTTGTCGATATGTGAAATATTTTGTAGAATAGTTTGTTTTTGCCATAAATATAACAATCTATTTCTTACTGGTTTTTGGATATAAAACCTTCCCAGATTTGTTGATAAAGTCAAAATTGAAACTTTTCCAAATATGTTGTTTAGGTCTACATGTATAAGTTTAGGTCTACAATATTTGCTTTTCGGTAGAACTGAAAAATCATATTCTTCTGAAAATTTTTAAAAACTATCGAGTCAAATTGAATCTGCATTTTGCAAAAAAAATAATTGACACACATTAATTATTCTACCAGTTAATTTTCTCTACATCTGAAATGTTTCACATTTCAAAATAGATACCAAGATAAATCCCAACATTTGTTTCTTATCGTTATTGCTATAAAAGTGAATTACACTGATCTTTAGAAGTCAAGTAGTATATATCAAAATTTAGAGCCATTGGATTCAAGTAATTAGGTCCCGGATGCTGCAACAACGTATAGGATTTTCTATATATTGACTAAAATCCCCATTGAATGGAAATATACCGTACACTAACAGTTTTTTGTTTTGGGAAAGATAATAAATTGTAACTGGGTCGCCTGGATGTCCTCAGGTGTAAAAGCAAAGTAACGATACAGATGAAAGATATATATGATTATATCTCCCATTGCATAAAAATGATGAAAACGTTGAAGGCTACCCAGCTTTTATAGTTTTGAAGAAATCAAATCTGCAGGAACGATTTCTGGTAAATATTTGGATGATCATTTGACCAACTTTATCTAAGAAATGATATTTGTTATCAATCAAGTTATCAATAGGACACCTTATATTAAAAAATATTGAAAAATATTGAAAATCTGCAGTGTTATGAATAACACCTTTAATGTTCGACTGATTAAATTTGTGTGAATTTCTGTTCGCTGGTTACAATATTCAGAATATTTGCAATTAATTAGGAATATATCAATATGAATTGATAACATGCACTGTACAACTCCCAATTTTTATTAAAACAAAATTTTAGTTGGTACTAGGCCATTCATATGATGTGCAACTCTAAGAACGACGCAGAGAGTTAAAACAAAACAAAAACTGAAAAGGACCAACTTGCAATATTTATTTAGCCCTCAATATACTTTTCTACATATTACCCTCATCGCAAAATTTTATAATGAATGAGTATACCGAGTTTTCATTTCAATATGGACACAAACAATTCCTCTCACTGAAAGCAATGTGTCATTCGCAATATGTTTGAGTTTAGAACTGTAGCGACATCGAAAAACACTTAAAAATATCTCGGAGTTTAAAGAGACCCCATGACTAATGGACGAGCATTAATCCCTACCCTCCACCTACCTCTACTTAATTTAATATGACAGTCCCCTATTTTTCGAATACACTTTCATTTGTATCCATTCAAAACATTTTCTTTCCATTCAACAATATGTCAGCGCTGTGAACTTTAAACTTTTGTGATAAAAATGTTAATTTCCATTGCATAGTTCTTTTGAACGTCTTCAAAAACATCACGCTTTTGAAAATGATAAGAAGTCCATCAATTTTTTGAAGGTGGTTGACAATGTTACGTGGTGTATTTCATCAGTTCGGACTTCCATTGTCTAATATAATATAAATTGATTTGAAATCCCTGAAAAAAAAATAAAAAGATTAACCGAAAATAACAATTTTATTATTGGATTCTCTCAAATTGAGACAGTAGAAGTATAGAATAAAATTGTTATTTTCGGTTATCTTTTTAATTATTTTTTCAGGGATTTCTAATTAATTTATATTATATTAGACAAAGGAAGTCCGAACTGATGAAATAGTCCATCAATTACTCGAGCTGTCAAAACATTGTTTCTGTCAATGTTTTTGTAACTCCGAAAATGATTTAGAGTGCTTCAGAATGTAGGTACTGAATTGTGTTATATTTATGGTTGAAACAGAATTAGTCGTCAATAAAGAAAAGGAAAAGTGAATATAAATAAAAGTTGATGAGATAGTAGCACCAAGTTTCATTAATCTACTGGAATAATTATTACTTATTAGATGCCAATTCATCAAGAAACTGAAACGTTGATTTTCAGTAGAACTGTAATAATACAAAATGGACCGTGTTGGAGTGACAAAAAAATTAATATTCTTGAAAAATGTCAAGAGTTCATTATCAAAACAAATATAACGTGTTAAAATGTTGGAGATGATAATGGAATCACACATTTTATTTTTTCTGTCGACTATTTCAAATCCATCTCAGTCGAAATAGCTCAAAAACAGCCAGCAACGCAAACATTTTTACTGGAAATTTTTTTCGGAATTCTTTGGGGGAGAGTCACTGGCAGTCTAAATTTAAGTTCCCTGGGAACCAGACACGCCATCTTGAATTCAAGGGTGGACTTTTGTTTATTTGAATAACTCCTTTAGTTTCAATTTAACACAAAAAATAGGAATTACAAAAGTTGTTTTCAATTGAATTTTTTACAACTGAGTTCGCATCAATTTTTTCTAGGATCTATTATTTTTCGATTTATATCGGAAAAGACGGGGTAAATTTATTTTATTGAACAACTCGTTTATTTTCAATTTTACGAGAAAAATTGTGATGAACAAAGTTGCTTGAAATCAAGTTTCTTGCAATTTTAGTTCCAATCAATTTTTTCGTAGGATCATTATTTTTCGATTTATTCACGACAAAAAAAGGGGTAAAATCTTATCATTGTATTATCACGTTCATTTTCAACTTCACGAGAAAAATTGAGATGAGAAAGTTGTATAAAAATAAATAGGATTGTTGGTTTTCGATTTACATTCGAAATTGAAGGGGGCAATTTTCGTTTATTGAATAGCTCGTTGAATCTACATTTGACACGAAAAATTGATTTGATAGTGACGAAAACCGCTCAGAACAAGTTACTCCCGACCCTTCCGAGTTTTCGGATGTATTCGTCAACAGTCGGACGAAAACTTGGCCGAACCATCAGCTGAACGTTTCAAACAGACATTTTGAAATTTCGAAATACTTACTTTCAAAAGTCTACTAAAACAAAATGAAAGTTCATTTTTTCAATTTTGAAAGTTATAGTGTTCGAGGAATTTACCCCCCTCTTTTCCTTTACATGCGTCCCAAAAATATGAACCTTAAAAAAATCGGAAGCATAATTTTTGCAAATTACATCATCAAATTTTCAAAGGCAATCAACAAAAAACCAAAAATAATAGAAAACATCAATAATGAACACGATAATAGAATTCTTATGGTTTACCCCTACTTCTTCTTAGGTATAAATCGAAAAATAACGATCCTTCGAAAAAATTGATAGGAACCAAAATTGTAGAAAATATATTTCAATTAACTTTGTTCATTACAATTTTTCTCGTGAAATAGAAAATAAACGAGCTGAGCAATAAAAAAAATCGCCCTCTCTTTTCGGATATAAATAAAAAAATATCAATTCTAAGAAAAAAATGATGTGAAAGATATAATTGTGGGAGATTTTAGTCGTGTGAAATCGAAAATAAATAAGTTCATTTATAAAAAAAACCCACCCATAAATTCAAGATGACTGCTTAGACTGCTTAGACTGCTAGTGGGGGGGGTCACAAAGGATCCCCAAAGGAAATTTGCCAGTAAGAATTTTTGTGTTTTCAAATTCTTTTTCGACTGGGCTAACATATTTTAAGCAAGCTGTCAAATGGTGTATCACAATTGAGGTTTGTCGTGAGAAGAAGGTGGGTTTGATTCTGTTTAATTAATTCTATTTAGCTCCCCTCAATCAGCCAAACTATTTTAAGAGTTCTTTGATACTATATCCAGTCCCAAAGTTGAACCCGGATAGAAGCTTTAAAATTGTCCTCAGATATGAAGTGAATATTTGAAATGTAACAAAAAAAATTTCTGAAAATCAGTGAAAGACTGTCAATTTCGAAAAACGATATTACGAATGTTAGTTTTCAGAGCTACTTCACTGAAGTACGGAAATATCGTACCGTAGTTTTCGTTCACAAAAACCTATACGCCACTAAAACATCAAAGAAATCACAATTAACATATAACGTAACATAAATATATTACTCTAAAGTTATTCCTTCGCCCCTATTTGATTCATAACGGTTCCGAATGCCATGAGTTTCAATTCACTGATTTCATTACCTACAAAAGGAAAATTTATTAGCAGTTCAAAACTTCTTCCAAATTACATCTACAAATTTTGTGTCTGTCAAAAATATCAAGACAACATAGCATTTTACAAATAACATTTTTGGCACTCACATTATTTTATAATGAAAAAAGTATGGAAATAAACAGAAATACTAAAATATATGTGATGTTACTTGATATGAACTGGATCGACTACAAAAAACTAGGAAGAAGTAAATATTCTAATCCCACTATGTGTATGATGATAGAAGTATAATGAATAAATTATTATTTAATCAACAATCTCAATATTTTGAGCTGTTGAGACTTTATTGCTATTGAAATTGATGGCATTCGTAACCAAATTGTCAGTTTACTTCTACTGTCTTTGTTGGAAAGAATTCAGCGTAAATATCGTCATTCTCCACATTCCTCAATCAACTGCTGACAATGATTGTGATGTAGTTTAGATTTATCAGTTGGATTCTCTCAAATTGAGACAGTAGAAGTATAGAATACATCGAAGAACCATTGTCTACTACCTTTAAATACTCATTTGGAACATCGACCCGATGGGTTCTAGATATAAATTCATACATTATGAGTTATATTGTTTCCATTCTTATTAATAGGTACTGATTCTTCTAATTTGACTTCAGGTTGGCTGAATAATGTTGAGAAGTAGCGTGCCTGAAAGAAATGCATTGTGTAGTAGCATAGACATTGTTTGCAGAAAATCACAACATATGGAAAATAATTGAAAAGAACTGGCCGATACTTTATGAAAATCCATATTGGAACTGATTATTACAGTTTATTGTATGATTTTCACTATAAAGGGTTTTACAAAAACCGCGACACGTGTTCCGCTATACAATAGCTTCCTCATACATACAGTGCATTTCTTTAATGTCTCCCTTACCTTTTATTTTTTGAACGGGTCAAATCAAAAAATTAAAATTTGGGATAATGAAATTATTGGATGAATATTTTATTTTGAAGCGAAATTGACAGATGAAACTTTCAAGATGGCGACTGGGCGCCATTTGGGAAAAAAATTATATGGAAAGGGGGGTCTTGTGACACATTTTTTGAACCTCCTGACAAATGCTTCACAACCCTAGAATATGAAGTCAATACCTTCGCCTACTACAAAATGGCGGAACATTTAATAATTTCCTGAAGACAAACACATTAATATTGATATTTCTAGAAATATTCCTTTTTATCTGTCATACGGCAATTCCAACAACCCGATAAGGTTTGTTAAGTTATTTTTTGTTTATAAAAACGACAAAAAATGTCAGTACGACAATAAACATCATTGTTCAGTTAGAATATTCTCATTTAGTTTTCGGTTTTACTAGTAGAAAGGTACCACGGCAACAATGTCTAAAATGGTCAATTCTAGTCCATTGGACAAAAAAATTAAGTATGTTTATTTACGGTGCGACGCGTAACTTTCACGAGACCGAAAGGATTTTCAATGAACGTTTTCCGAATCGTCCTATCTGTAGAAAATATTTGAGGGAACTTTATCCAAATTCACAAAAAAGCCCCCAGGTCATCCGTCCATTCCGGAAGAACAGCAAGTGCAAATAATTGGTGAGATGGTAGTAAATCCTGAACAGTCTACTTATTCCGTCGCGAATGTTTGTGAGGTATCTCCTTCTACTGTGTGGAGACTTTTGAAGAGGAATAGGTATCATCCTACACTAAAATCCATACACCAATTAACTGAAGATGGCCCTGATCGAAGAACAGAATTCTGCGAAATCCTGACGGAAACCATTGCAAGGCATCCTACCTATCTCAACAATATTTGTTTTAGTGACAAATGTACATTTTTTTAAACGACAATGTTCACAGACGAAATTGCCGTTATTGGAGTGACACTAACACTCACGTTTTCCGGGAAACACAAACCCAATATCCAGAAAAAATTAACATTTGGGCAGAAATATTGGAAAACCATATTGTAGGACGTTGGATTGGCCGTCGAGATCCTACAGAATGGCCAGCCCGCTCGCCCGATTTGACAGCTTTGGACTTTTTTTATGTGGCTATTTGCAGCAAAAAGTGTACGAAAATGAACCTGCTTCAATACTGGATATATGACAGAGAATAATAAATATTTGTAGACAATTTGACATTACTGTGTTCGAAAATGTTCGGCTTGAAATATCGGATAGGCTGTTCATATGACAAGGAGTTCAAGGCAACCATTTCGAACATCTTCTGAACTGACCTCAAGCTTATTACCACATATTATGTAGTTAAATGTCAATGAAGTCAGGCAATTATTGAAAGTTCCGCCATTTTGTAGTAGTTGAAAATATTGACATTATATTCTGGAGTTGTGAAGCATTTATCAGGAGCTTCAACAAGATGTGTCACAAGACCCACCTTTCCATTTAATTTTTTTCCCAGATGGCATCCAGTCGCCATCTTGAATGTTTCACCTGTCAATTTTACTTCAAAATAAAGTATTCATGCATTAATTCCATTATCCCAAATTTCAATTTTTTGAGTTGATCCGTTCAAAAAATAAAAGGGGGGACATTAAAGAAATGTACTGTATATACGCTTGAAGAAGATATTGTATAACGAAACATGTGTCACAGTTAAGGTTCTTTTTTCAAGTTCTCAATATCTGCAATAGTTGTCGAGATAATTGTATAAAAACGAACACCTCTTTCTTGAAAAGAACATACAACTCTCAAGTATTCAATAGCGCAAGTTGACTCAAATCGTAGAAAATTCCGTGTAGAATCACGAATCGTATTACATAGCAATCATTACTTTAGATAAAGGCGAATTGAAATAATGTGAATAAACTCAGTTCTCCAGATGACAAGAGTTCTTAAACAGTGAATTTCGAGGTGTACTGAGATGAACCTCAAAAGGATGAGCAGCCACAGTTCGTCGCGTATATCTGATGTGTACCGCTTTTGGTGGAATCAAATGAGCCAAGTCACTTGAACACTTTCCGTGAAAGGATCTATGGAAGAAAGATAAATTTCCAACCTTTCTTCGATGTTCCAGTTTTCTGGTTCGGAACAGTGAAGCAGCCTCTGAAGTCCAGCGACATGATTGTGCCAAGATATATTGGTGTCCATTTTAACCCCCAACAAACTTGTCGAAGCAGAAAGCGGAATTGTCTGACCTGTCATTATCATATCTGGTTCGGAGACATTTATCTTCTTGGAGAAAACTGATGCCTGGGTTTTTGTGGCACTGAATTGAACCTGGTTACCCCAATTCGAAATCACTACTAGTTACTCATTAATATATCTTGCTGCCGGTGAAGATGTGCCTCCGTAGCCGATGTTCTGGAATCCAAATAGAATGCGGAGAAAAATGTGCTGTCGTCAGCAAAGCAATATATTGGATTCTTGTTTTTTTTTTCAATAAGTCGTTGATTTACAATAAAAAGAGGGTTGGAGACAATGTGGATCCCTGGGGAACACCAGCGTTGAAGGTGAAAGTATTCGAGAAATATACATCGACGGCCACTTGCAGGGAATGTTCTTTCAAGAATCGGGAGAGCCATACACATAAATGATCCTACAAGCCATAGCATCGAAGTTTGGCCAGCGAACCCTCATGTCACACACAGTCAAAAGCCTTAGAAATATCAAGGGCAAAGATGACGCTTGGGATCTAGCATCAACCATTTATGAAGGATTTCGTTAAAGACGTTGTGTAACAATACCCAAGATTTAAATCAGCATGCTCCTTATCATCATTGAAAAATGGTACCTACCTCACTTTTCTGAAATAACTGCCAAAGAAATTTCAATTCTGATAAATGGCGAATGAGCCAGTTATAAACGTCTGAACAGATTTGAAAATATTGGGTTGTGTCAAAAGTTTTGTCCGTTTTAATGTCGAGTGTTTTTGTACCTCTATATCTCAATGAATGACAATTCTATTGTCTCGTCGTATATACTGATGGATACAAAATTTTGTACTCTATACATTAATGCTGACCCATCACAAACGGTGCCTGGGATGGCGGAAGAACTAAACGTCAGCTCCCATGCGGTATACAATGCTTTAAAACGTATTAGAAAGGTCAAAAACTCCGAAAAGTGTGTGCCCCACGATTTGAACGATCGGAAAAATCTGTCACGTTTCGATGTCTNAGCCCAGTCACACAGGAGCGCCGACGATAAAACCCGTGTTGAAAATTTGTTAGGCGATTTTTTGCCATGAAATAAAGTTCGTCTGTTATTATTTCCTCGAGTAGTTTCCCAAATATACATAGAAGCGATATCCCTCTATAATTTTCAATCACACTCTGGTTTCCACTTTTATATACTGGAACCATATTGGCTAATTTACAATTTTTAGGAAATATTTCCGTTTTCAGTGAGTGATTGAAAATTATATACAATGGCTGTTCTTTGCTTTTTTGGATCGGATAGTCACGTGTGATGAAGAGTGAATCCTCTACAACTGGAGACGTTCAGGACTGTGGTTAGACCGATGAGCTAACCAGGCACTTTACAAAAGCGAAAACCTACCAAACCTACGAAAAAAAGAACACCCTCCGAAAATTAAACGAATTTGGCGTCGAAGTTATGCCTCACCCACCATATTTCCGGTCAAACACCACAGTAGAGAATTGTTGTGACGAAATGTACCGGAAATTTCGTTAGCAGCAGTCAGCACTGGTCAACAGAAGAGGTCCGATAACATGTACGAGTACGTTATTGGGCCAGAATTAAAAAATAAGAAATATTCAACCAATAACAATGTATGAAAACTGATTGACGAAGATAGTAATGAAAAAGAATAAGTTATGAAGGATAGAAAAGGTGAGGACGTCGTTGACAAACAAATGTAAAGAATAGATGAATAGGAAAATTCTATTACAATATCTGAAAGGGATTGGAGTCATAAGGAGATCCTGAAAAATTAACTGGTTATATTACAGTACTAAATTCATAATCAGCATGATCGGTGAAGGAATTCTATACAAAATTTGTTTTCCCAATAAAAAAATACACGATTGAAAACTTTGAAGAAACTTCAAAATAATTCTCTGAGACTGATAACGGGAAGTTTCAGAACGAGTCCTGTAATATCACTCTGCTGTGAGACTGATTTCCCTCCACTTGAACTTCGAAGAACGAGACGAGATGTCTTGCAAACTATGCTGTGAAAATATACTATCAACCTTACCACCCGAATTATGATATCTTTCTCAATGACAAAATCCATAATTTATTCCTACAAAAACCAACGGCAATCCGACCAACAGGTACACGCATAAGAGAGCAACATATTATCCCAGATTCGAAAGTTTTCACGCTCGCTTTCCCAGAGTTCCCTCCATGGAAACTAGCTGATATACATTGCAATGTTTCGGGAAATGAAATGAAAAAGTCATAATTGAACTCACAATAACACAAACTGAACTATTACAATAACATCAGTAAATTTCCGAACTACTGCAAAATATATACTGATGGATCAAAGACCGAGTATGGGGTGGGCTGTGCATTCCTTGTAGATGGACACCTCCATAGCTGGTCGATGCACTCAATGACCAGCGTATACACAGCAGAATTATACGATATATACCAATTTTCATTATTCTGCGAATTCGCACCAAACGAAACTCATTTTCTAATTTGTACCGACTCGCTGAGTTCCATAAGATCATTTCAAAATAAATTCACTCTTGACCCCCTTGTGAGGTTTATACTTGAAAAAGTTGTAGCACGTAGGGTTATGGATCATTTGGAATCAAATAGGCTGTTATGTATGTCTCAGCATGGTTTCAGGAAAAATAAATCTATAGAAACAGCTTCCTATCATCTTCTGAATTATATTTACACAGAGATTGATAAAAAAAATTATGTGATCTCACTATTTTTCGATCTATCAAAAGCGTTTGATACAGTATGCGCGGAATTTCTCATAAAAAACTGTCATTGTTCGGGTTTCCACGAAATATAATAAATTGGATACAATCCTATATGACAAACAGAGAAATGGTTGTGATCTGCAATGGAGTTACATCTGAGTCAAAGACGGTAAAACTCGGGGTCCCACACGGCTCTGTTCTAGGACCTCTAGTGTTTCTTCTCTATGTTAATGATCTTCCTCAACATATAAAGGGAGGCTACGTCACAATGTTTGCTGATGATACAACGATAACCAGAGCAGGCAATAATGCTGAGCAACTCATCAGCAAATCTGAACATATTATTGATCAGTTCAGTACCTGGTGCCAAAGAAATAAGCTCATTCTAAATACTTCTAAATCGATCAGTGTTAACTTTCACTTCAGAAGAAATATTCCAATTGGTCGACACTCTAGTTATGACATTAAAACTTCTGAAGAAATGAAATTTTTAGGGACGTTCCTAGACGCCAATCTAAATTGGGAAAGGCAGGTGGACTATATATGTGCTAAGTTAAATAGAGCATATTATGCCATGAAACAGCTGAAATCCTGTTTGGATGAAACTGCCTTACTCAGCATATATTATGCCATGGCCTACCCTCATATAAGTCTTAATATTATGGCTTGGGGCAGAGCAAGGGATTTTTCCAGAGTCTTCATAGCNTGACGGGTGTTACTTTATTTCACAATAGACAGTGTCGCTTCCTTCGCCTTTCCTACGCAGACTAACTCGCAATCGCGCCGCTAGCCTTTTTATATGCAATTATTACTGCCATCTCGAGGTGATCGGAATACACTAGCTAGAACCAGAACTTTCTCGATCCAACGCGGTAATTCCAAATATTTAATTACGCCTAACACCACCTAGCGGGTAGCTGAAAAAGATAGTACATAGTACCACTACTCGCCACTAGATGTCGTTAAGTGTAACAATATACAATAATTGAAATGCAAAAAAGCGTAAGTTTGCTTAGTTCACGCACTTTGCGACTATCCTAGTCTAGAAATATAGTTAAGAGCAGAAATTGGCCCTTGGAATAAACTGAAAAAATCATTATGGCCGAAGGCTTCAAAGTTTGGAGGCCCTGTTCTAGATGAACCTAACTTTTCGTTGTCTTATGATGCATTAAAATTTAGGTATAAACGATACTTATTCAGTCAACAATAGTTTGTTGCCAGTACCATTCGACTATGATTATGAAATCTTACTTATCAACCATGTGTGGAGAACAAAATATTTATTTAGATTTCGAAAATGTATATGTATTCATTGGCTTTTCAAGGGAACTATACCTACTATGGAAGAATTGGCTGCAGGTTCTTCTTTTGTTTACCTTCATTAGATGTTTTTGCTATTGAAAAATTACTCTGTATTACTTTATATATTGGTGAATGATAAATGCATTATTATTATTACTTTCGAAAAAAAGTCGAACTTACTGTTATTACAGCTACAAGAGCCCCTAGGCCCAGTCCACAGAGCACGTCACTCCAGTGATGTTTATAGTCAGAAACTCTGGTCATTGCTGTGAAAACTGCCCAAAGCACAGCCAGGAACTGAAGAGTATGCTTCAACAATTTTGAGGCATCCCATGTCATCCTCTTTTGCAAATATATCTGAAATTGAAAAAAAAACTTGTCACATTTTTGTTTCGCAGACTCAGATCGTAATTTTCAGAGGCCAATGGATGGAAAAGCACTTTTCCCAAATAATAAGTTTGTCGAGAGCGTCGAGAAGAGTGATTTTTTGGATTTATTCTACGCCGGAGATTCCAGTTTTACTCTTTATCAATGAAGAGGCTACATGAAGCTCACTTAGTGGTGTCTATTTGACAGTTTTAGACTTGGAGACAACTTTTCTAACTTCTTTGAATCCTTCATCCAAAATTCGTTAAATTCTTTCAAAAAGGGATATACCTTCACCTCCCAATCTTTAGCAATAAAAATAAATACTTTTTGCTTTTTTCTATTAGTAACTCATGACGATTGTTTGAATATCACAATGCATTCTGTGTCATATTTATTAAAAACTTGAAATTTATATACAGTACGATGCAAATGTATGGAATAAATTCGATATTCACAAAAGGAGCGTCTTTAGGAAGAAATCCAAAAACAGGTCAACTTTAATTTTTGACGGCCCATCTCATGATATTCATATGAAAGACGTTTCGTCACCAGTGTTGGCGTGATGACGTAATCGACAATTTTTAGATTTGAAAATATTGGGTTGTGTCAAAAGTTTTGTCCGTTTTAATGTCTCTATACATTAATGCTGACCTAACACCTAATTTGACTTCAGGTTGGCTGAATAATGTTGAGAAGTAGCGTGCCTGAAAGAAATGCATTGTGTAGTAGCATAGACATTGTTTGCAGAAAATCACAACATATGGAAAATAATTGAAAAGAACTGGCCGATACTTTATAAAAATCCATATTGGAACGGATTATAACAGTTTATTGTATGATTTTCACTATAAAGGGTTTTACAAAAACCGCGACACGTGTTTCGCTATACAATAGCTTCCTCAAGCGTAAACATTTCGTTGTGACATTAAATAAATGTACTGTATATACGCTTGAAGAAGATATTGTATAACGAAACAAGTGTCGCTGTTTTTGTAAAACCCTTTATAGTGAGAGTCATACAATAAACTGTATTAGTTTTAATATGAAAAATAGTCAAAAATAAGGACATTGATGGACACTTGAAGGAAATGAGAAAACTGAAAAACCATAGACAAAATAATATAGTTAGTTAACACTCAACACAAAATGGAAAGCCTCAATAATAATATAAATTCATTCAGGATATTTTATAATATATACATAGGAAATAACAAACAAACGAAATAAACTGGTAATAACCTTGAAAAGTGAAACTTTTGCCAAGGTAAGTCATAAAAAAGGATACATATTTATGAATACAGTCTCACATATATTCAAATACAAAGTATTTACTAGGGGTAAATCAAAAAGTAAATATTTGTAATGAAGACAAAAAAACTAACAAATGAATACATACATTTACAATATATGCTTAGATAACAATATATGAATTAAATAAAATAATTCAGAAATGTAGTGGATGATAATGATTTATTGAAATTCATTACATAATGTGTGAAGTCCATATTATTCATTCTTTAGTTTTATTTTTATATGTTGAAAAATATTTAATTTTTTTTTTTATATATGTTTTTGGATTTCTTCCGAAAGACGCTCATTTTGTAAATATCGAATTTGTTCCATACATTTGCATCGTACTGTATGATAGAATTGGACGATACTTGAGAAAAATTTGTTGAATGTATTTGATAATACTTCTTTTGTGACTAGGAGCAAATGATTATTATACAATTGGGTTGGAAATTTTTTTCAAAATAATTTTCAGACGTCCTACGTAATCATTGGTATGATTGGTCGACTTAAAAACTATAGTTTCTGATGAGAAACAACAAAAAATATGAATTTGGAATCCAAAGAAAACATTTTTCCCATATCAGTACAAAACATTGTCTCACCTATACTGATGTTGCCAACTTGTTAGCGAAACACGCGTCAAGGGACTGTGTTTTGTTCTGGTGGGTGAAAAGTGTTTTTTTCAGCTATAATATCCCAAGGACATTGATAACTAACGAAATAATTTTATCACAGTTTTATATCAGTGTAATGATGGTTTCATTGGTTATTTCGACACACATGACTAGAAATAGACAAATTTGATAGGATAATTTTTTTGGCAAAAAAATTTCAGATTAATTTTACGTTAGAGGTTCCACTTCCAATACTCAATGTAAGTCATAGAAAAAAATACAGTATTCTTAATTTCTTGAATGATTTTGACGTTGACTTTTAACAAATGACATTTTTGGTTCGTTGAATATTACTCTGAGATTTTCCAATAATCAATTTTTTGAATCTCACAGTAAAATATTACATATGTTCGTTATTCATTTTTCGAAATATGATTTTCATAGTTTATTTCATTAGTTTGGACTTTCATTGTCTAATCATATATATAAAAATGGATATTTGTTGGTTGGTTGGTTGGTAAGTGATAAACTTCTACATCGCTCAACCGATCGTGATGAAACTTGACATGTATAGGTAATTTTTCATAGAGAAG